ACCAACTCCAAAAACATAGTTTCAAAATTCAAAATACACAATGATCATTGATAGGCCACACATTATTCCATTAATTCAATTTGCAAAATTTGATGAAATTCATGACAAGACAAAAGATCCAGAGTTTTTGATTNGTACGTTTTATAGTCAATTTTAATTATTTATCAAAGTTACTTCATTAACTAATTTTAATTTTAGATTTACTGGTGAAGTTGGTCCATTTACAATACCTTAATTCATCATTATCTTGATCAAAAACATCAATGATCAGAATAAAACTNCGTGATACAAANTAANTTGTCCTTCACTTTAGACTGTATTTTTATAAAAATGAATTTTAATTAAACATATACTAATATGATATGTAAATAAAATCAGTGATTTGTTAATGGANTNTTTTCTGTGGGTAAACACGNTCAANATTTTCAACTTATTTNGNATAACANCTCCGGTTTGAAGAAAATTGCAATTTTGCGGTCTACAACAATTAAAGATTTGAGATGTATGTTCCTTCAATTAGTTTTTTATATTGTAAACCTAATTAATCACAAAATGATCAAAAATCATTTACATATTGTTAATCAAATCATAGAGCAATTTTATCTATGGATTTCCCTGCATTTCAGATGTGAAGTCAACGATATTCTTCACCGGTAAGTGGAACATATACAATAATTATTGTTTAAATGTTTGACTAATTAATATCCTCAACTAAAACATATGCATGTCATTTTGTTAATCTACCAGGTAAAACAACACTCCAAAGGAATTACTGAAAACCAAGGGGGAAGACAAATGATGAGTTTTTGTTACTTTTTTTTTTTAAATTTCGAATAAGTTTTGTTTTCTAAGGCACAACTAAAAAGATATTTATTTTTGTTATGTTTAATTTTTTTACATGAATACTAAAGAAATCCAGGGCCTTAAATCTTATTGTTGTATTGCTCTATATTCTTTTATATATTAAAGAAAACACATTTTTAGATTATTTTATACAGTGTCAAACTCTCAAATTTTCTAAATTTTTTTATTAATAATTAAATTCCTATCATTATTACTACCTATGTACACTTAATGAAACAATCCCTATAACTAAACATTATTATTTTTAAACTTCTATATTAAAAGAGATTAGAGGACAATTTTGCTTTGTNTTATCACCCAACTTTTTTATTTAATTAATTCNATTTTTAACACTATCATAATTNNCAAACAATTTCTTTTCCAATCAGGATTAGTCCCGTAGTAAAATTATTTACTTTCCCAAACAAAAGTTATATACTAATCACACTAATTCCTTATCACCCTATTCTTTTGGGTCAAACTTTACCAAACAAAAGTTTATATTTACTAAATTTTATTTACTAATTCGTAAGATATACACAATCCTCACTTTTAGAATTTTCATACAAATAATTTGATTACATTTATAATTTTGGTTTTAGAAATACCAATTTAAAATACAAGCGGATCCATATTTTCTTCATCGGAAAAGTAGATCCCAATTGTTAGCAACAAAACAAAAAAGTAGATCTCATTTTAATAACAGTGTCAACTAAATGTACTTTTAACTATTTAACTAAATCAAG